TTGGAGTCACCAAATCTGGAAAACTAAATTAAAATCACTACATACAACTATACTGCTTGATTAGTATTAGAGTTTCTTTTTGAATAAGAGTTTATTCGAATTATTTGTATAAAACGAGTAATTCGAATATTTCAAACAAAATGAATAAACTACAATTATTCAAATTAGCATAGTTAGCGTAATCACAATATGCGTAATTGCAAAAAATGTTTGTAGATGGTTTCCTAAAAGTAACAAAGCCTCTTGGAAGGTGACGATGGGTTATTTCGTAAACTAAAGAAGGCAATTAACACCACCATTAGATGAAATTTTGGTACCAAATGATACTGATTTTGTGCTTGATATAGTGGTAGTATCAGATTGTCTCTGGACATGAATGCAACTTGCTTCTTTTACAATCTACTGCTCTTGATGTTGTGGTTGCTCCAAGACTTGTATCTACCGAACCTAAACAGAATGCAAGGTCAAATTTAAAAGAGTTAATTTTGTATTATTTAATGAAGCAAGTAAGGTTTGATTCATTTTGTCGACACCCATTTCATCGAATGTTTGTTATGTCGAATGTTCATTTCGTCAAAAATTATTTCGTCACAGAAAAAAAAACTTCATTAAACAAATTATTTTCTACTGATTTTCTGGGTTCTGTGTTAATGTAATAATAATGCATCACTACTACATTATCATAAATCAATTAAGTTGATTGATTGATGGATGGATTGATCATCAAAAAAAAGCTTACTGTAATTTTGCAAGTGATAAAGAATTATATTTTAATCTACTAGTTTCATACATTGTAGAACTTATTTTTTCATTTCCATCAACGATGCTAACGTTAGTACTATTACGAACTATATAACCCTTTAATAAAAGTTCTTCTCTACCTTTTAAATATGCCTTAAAATGTTTAAATCCCTTTTTAATTTTTAACATTTAGCATATTTTCAAAGCTTGAATTGTTATTTTGTATTTTTTAAAAAAAAACCTTTAAACAACCAACTGTAAGACAATCCAAAAGAAATGCTGATAATCGTGCACTCACTGACTATATGGCAACACTTTGATTACCATCACCGTCAACAATATTAGTAGCTATCATTGTTTACTTTAACGAAATTTAAAAAATTAATAAATAAAATAATTTCATCATATCTATCAGCTACGGCCATACATAGTGAAAAGCACCGGAACCCGTCCGATCTCCGAAGTTAAACCACTAATGGCCCAGTCAGTACTATGGTTGGGGACAACATGGGAATACTGGGTGTCGTAGCTTTTTTTTTTATTCATTAATAAATGCGTGAGAAAATATTAATATATATAAAATAAATATAATAATCATTCTTTACAAATTTTTTTTATTTTTTGAAATGGAACTTCAAGGCTCTTGTCATTGTGGAAAAGTTAAATTCAAAGTAAAGTCTAATACACCTGTACCATATATGAGATGTTATTGGTAATATTAATAAAAGTTTGAATTTTTGAATATATTAATATGCTTGCTTACCACCTAAAAATAATCATATTTTCAAGTTCCATATGCCGTAAACTTGATGGTGGAGGTGGATATAGTATTAATATTATGGGATTGGTAATTAATTAGTTAATTTAGATCATGATTTCTTTTTTTGATAAATTTATAATGGTTTTTTTTTGTTTTAGAATGATACACTTGAAGTTGACGGAATGGAAAATGTCAAGACATATTAGTATGTATTGAATAATTATTTATGATAACTAATAAATATTGTTTTCTTTTGTAGAAGTTATCGTGGAATTAAGGATAAATCTTTACCTAAAAAACAACAAGAGGAATGGTAAATCATAATCATAATCACAATAATATTAATAATAATAATAATAAATTTAGATTTTATTTTGCTTAAATAGTGGAAATAGAAGATCATTTTGTAAAGAATGTGTGCATTTTTATGGGCCTATGATCCAAAATATTCTGAATGGGTTAGTTATTTATTTATTTATTTTGTAGTTAAATACTCACTTACATTTATAATATAAACAATTTACTTTTTTAAAAAAAAACATTCACACAAAGTGCTATCCGTTTGCATCTGCAATTGACACACCACTGCCAAAACCCAAAAGATTGGTTTGTATAATGTTAAAGATAAAGCTGATTGGGCTGAAGTTCCTGATTCAAGTGAAGCTGACTTATTTGATGAATATCCTGATAAATCAATTGAAGGCTGGCATAAAGCTAATAATCAATGGATCAAATAATTTTATAATTACAATTATAAATAAATAAATGTCATTCTTCTTATGAGTGCCTTTTTTACCAGTGAAAATATGATCCTTATATCAAGTTAATCTCATGTTTCCTTTATCCCTGTTGTGCGTGAAAATGAAATCTATGTGAACTTGCAATTCACATACGTGAAATTCAAATTAACCAATTAGAATTTCATATCCAAACACTCCATCCCAAAATTTTAATTATAAATTTTGATTTCACAGTTTCAATTTCACATACAACATCCCTAACTTAATATTAATATTTTCCTTAGTGTGAAAAAGGTATTCTTTCTTGCACAAAATATAACTTTTTGAAAATATATAGTAGGACTCTGTGTAAACTTTAATATTAATATTTAGCTAAATTTTATAAAGGTTTTATTATAAATTAACTCACAAAATATATTTTATTAAAACATCATCTAAATAAATTTTTATTAAAGCATCATCCGATTAAATAAATACATTTTTATTTCTTTATAATAACCAACATGTAAGCATTATTTATATAGGCATATTGTAACAAAACCAGGCAAAGTGAACACAATGGGATTACTTTTGATATCATCCTCCTCTTCGGATTGATAAAACTTCTATATACTGTATAATAAACATTATTATAAATAAAAGATAAAAAATCATTTATCTTCACATACAAATTCATCATGATAATATAGATCACGCACCATTTTGAAGCAAAATACCTGGTTCGTAAAAATTACATCTTCATTGGAGTATGAAATGATGTTTGCTTCATTTTTTTTCTACTGGTAGAAACTCCATTTTTTTTGATATTATATAAATATCAATATGTTCTTCACGTGCCCTTCAGGCACGTGAAAAAAAGAATATTGACTATAGGAAGTGTAGGAGGTATCTGATAAATGAATTATCAGGCAGAAATAAAAAATTCTATATTCTTATTATTAAATGATAAACTGATTGTATCACATGATTATAATATCAAGTTGCAAAAATAAGTTTGTCTATTTCTGCCAGTGATTACATAGGGACCTACTTGATAATTAATTTTATTCGCATAAAAAAACTTTATTGGTGTGTGACAAAAGAAAGTTGACTTATAATAAATAAATCTATTAAAGATGAAATATTTTTCCATTAATAATTTGTTATTGATATTAATAATAATTAGTTGCGAAAAAATAATTATCAATGTTGAAACAAGAGGAATTACAGAAACTAAAGAGGACGCAGCGAGAATAGCAAGAAATTTGGTAAATGAAACAGGATATGGAACTCTTGTTACTATTATGAGCGAAAATGAAGATCATATGAAAGGTGAAATTATCATGTATATATTTATTCTTAAATAATAATAATAATAATAATAATAATAATAATAATAATAATAATAATAATAATAATAATAATAATAATAATAATAAAATTTTAAGGATATCCAATTGGACTTCTTGAATATTTATCAGATGATTGTCCATCCACTGGAGATCCATTATTACTTTTGAGTCATGTACAGGTAAAAGAAAGGAGGGATGAAAATAAGGGAAGGGATGATTGAAAAATTACAAATATACTAAACCATGAATTTACTGTATGTATGGAAAAAAGCTAAATGTTCGCAATGCTTTTGATGATGGACTGAGAGCTTCTCTGTCGATTCGTAAATTAAGTTCCAAGAAATCATTTTTTCCTTTCGCTGAACCAAGATTAAATTTATTTGGTAAAATAACAAGGGTTAACGAGAGTGAGGTAAATATAACAAGTATTGATTAATTAATTAATTAATTAATTAATTATATTTATTATTATTATTGGGAGAAAAGGAATTCTAATATTTAAATTAATTAGGAGAATGATGTTAAAAATTGTTATCTAGAGAAACATCCAAAAGCTCGTTATTGGTAAGGATGTCTTTTCTTTTCATGCTAATGATGGTGATGATAATCAAGAACATTATCAATTCGTTAACTTCTTAAATGATTATGGCAATTATTAGGCTTCCTGGCAAAGTTCATTCATTTCATTTCTATCGATTTAAAGTTCAAGATATTTATTTTATTGGAGGTTTTGGGGGGTAATTTGCTAATAATTTTATTGACTGATTGATTGAGATTGGTAATTAATAAGTTAATAACTTTGTTATATGTCATAAAAAGTCTTCATTATATAGGATTTATTGAAGAGAAACTATATCATGAGACAACTCTAGATGGTGGTTCTGATGATATTTGTGAAGAATGATTGAAAGTACAAATATGCATACATGCACGTGTAACTTATTAATGTGTGTTTACTTTTCTTATGAATGGATGTTTTTTGTTTTTCTTGATCACGTGTATACTTTCATTTTTAAGAAAAAATTGTTTTTTACCTTTTTTATAATTATTATTAAAAAAAATGTAACAATATTAAATTCTTGTTTGTTATTTATTAGTTTGTATCTTATAAATAAGCATAAAAAAGCAGATAAATAGCGCGTCACTTTATAAAACTATTTTATTTCCCATATATATATGCATGCTTATTATTTCAAAAACAATCAGAAAATTTTCTTCATTTTATTCTGCATGAACTTTTCCCACTAACGCAGCAACAATCGCAACAACGAAAACAAAAATGGATTTAATTTCACAACATGACGATGAAGAGAGTTCTAATGAGAATTTAATTCTTCATCTTACAACAGAATTTAAAAAGCCTTTTACAGGCTGGGACTTTTCATATCTTAAAGGTCGCATGGAAGAAAATTCCGGATCTTTAGGTTGGAATTATGAAAATACCGTGAGAAGTTTGTTACCACATCATAAAGGGCTTTTAGATATGGGAACTGGTAGCGGTGAATTTCTTGCTTCTTTGAGTCCTTTACCTCCAGATACTTGTGCAACAGAAGGTTGGGCTCCCAATATTGATATTGCAAGAAAACGTTTAAAACCTTTAGGAGTAACAGTTACAGGTAATTATGATATGACAATAATAGTTCAATCAATATTAATTTATTACAATTATTAATCGTTAATAATAAAAAAGCAAAGGAACAAAATGATACAAATGATTGGAATCTATCATTCTTTTTTATCGATTTAATCAGTTAATTAATTTAATTCATTCATTTATTTATACAAATAACATTTAGCAATTACCGATTATGACGTTAGATTACCAATTAATGATGCAAGGTTTGATTTGATAATTAATAGACATGAACCATATATTATCTATGAAGTACATAGGCTCCTTAAACAAAATGGCATATTTGTGACACAACAAGTTGGAGAAAGGGATAATATAGAAATAAATAAATTATTAGGTGCACCAGAACATCTTGGTTATCGTGAATGGCATTTAGAACAAGCTTGTAGTGAAATGGTCAAGGCGGGATTCACCATACTTGAGAAACAAGAGGCTTTTATAGAGACAAAATTTTATGATGTTGGTGCAATTGTTTACTATTTAAGAGCTATTCCATGGCAAATTGAGGATTTTTCAGTGGAAAAGTATTCTGAACAATTGATAAATTTACATCACAAAATTCAGAATGAAGGTTACCTTTCTGTAGAAAGTCATAGATTTTTCATAATTGCAAGAAAAATTTAAATTTAATTACGTTAATTTATTTTTAGAAAGGACTTTTTATTTTACAAAATCACCCCAAAAAATATTTATATGCACATATTTAATTATTAATACTTTTTATTTATTATAATCATAATCATGATCATTTTATTTAATATATATTTTTTTTTCAAAAAAAATATTAGTGTCAATTCTTATTCTAATTTTATTATTGAGTAGGCGAGAAAAAGAAAATGAGATAATGAAAAAATAATAAAATTTTGTTTTTTATTATTTGTTCAAATAAAA